TGAAAATTTCATGTCATTAGCACCTCTAGTAATATATTTACTGAGAAAAATGGTGACGTGTTCAATACTTATTTTACCCGCTGTATATTAGGGATTTGGTTTTTCACTATGATTTAAATGAATAAGATATAAATTGTATTTTGTATTTATCTCCAGAGGAAAATGTGAATCTTGGCAGCAGCCATGTGCAGAAACAAATTACTAAAATAGCATAAAAATAACAATATAATAACATGCAAAACCTATAGTTTATTGTGGTAGAGAAAAAGACGTCTCATCTTGTATATCAATGACATGCTCTTTAAATAAAAAAWTCTTTTTTGTGAGCAAATTTATCACCTTTTCGGTTCTACACAAGCTCATGTTGAAATTATAATGCGTCGTTGCYCTTAAGTGTCCCTGAAATCATTTYTGGAGTACTAAATCACAATAAAGCTCTCATTTGTTGTTGAAATCATTGCACTTGCCTTTYTCTAAACTGGTGCAACTGAAAGTATGGATGACTTTATTTGCAGACATGTTTACTATTCTGTATTTACAATCTATTCCGTTTTAATTGAAATTCTCAGGTCTGGCAAACTAAAGGTCCCAGAGTGGGTTGACACTGTGAAGCTCGCCAGACACAAGGAGCTGGCTCCCTGTGACGACAACTGGTTTTACACCAGAGCAGGTTGGTCGTTTCCCATAATTCATCACRCCACCCAAACATTTCAAATATAATCTAAAATAGAAATGTTACAGAGATCACTATGTTGGGCTCAGTTTATCTAGGATTTATAATCCTATAGTTGTGCTATTAACAGACCTGCTGGTTTTTCGAGACTTACACAACATGTACAGTAAAACACACAGAGCCTTGTGCTGATGTGGATGTTATCCACCAGGACTTATCAGCTAAGACGGAAAAATGTCAGACGTGTGATAAGCTGGAATGTTGGCGTTCATACAGTTCAGGTGAAAAAGTCACAAGCATTTATTGCGACATGCAGCATAAAAATGAACGTGTCACCAGCGTCCACAGCCCGCCACCTTTACCTGCGAGGAGGCGTGGGCGTGGGCTCCATGATCAAGATCTACGGAGGGCGGCAGCGGAACGGCGTGTGCCCCGCCCACTTTAGCGTGGGCTCCAGGAACGTGGCGCGCAAGGTCCTGCAGGCTCTCGAGGGCCTCAAGATGGTGGAGAAGGATCCAAATGGGTGAGAGATGGATCGAGGAGGAAATGTGTTGCTGAGGTGCTGATTGCGAGTGATTGAATAATGTGTGATCACAGGGGTCGTCGGCTTACGGCTCAGGGCCACAGAGACCTGGACAGGATTGCTGGTCAGGTGAGTATTGCTTTTAAACAAATACTATTGAGCTAAAAGTTCCTTCAGAGGTGGCTCCAGATGTGTTCACAAAGCCTATAAAATATTGCGCAGTACCTGTATTTACACAGTGATTTTGTGTGTTTAGTGTTTTCCTGTTATGCTATGGCTGCATCAGTCTTTCCCCCCCTCTCTCTCTCTCTCTCTCTTCTCTCATATGTTCAGGTGGCCTCAGCAAACAAGAAGCAGCGAAGTTTACAAAGCACCATCTGAGGAAAGCAAGCAGAGAACACAGACCAGTGCAGTGAAATGRATTTATCTTTTGTTTGTTTGCAAGTATGCCTGCCTCCCACACTGCACTCCCCTCAGTAAACYGGATTTCATTCATATGCATGACTCCATGAGACAGTACAATGCAAATGAAATGGATTGGGGTTTTTTTGCACCAGTTTTTGCCTTAAAACCAAGAATACATAATGACAAAAGGAGCATGTTAATGTAAAACTGTGACGACTGCAAACAAAAAACAAAACCAATGCATCCAAGCAGGTCTTTTTTATTCATTTCTACTGTTTTCTATTGGTAATTAAATGTATAAATGTTAAACCATAACGCACTGTGTGTTCCAACTAAACGCTGGATGAGATGTTAATGACAGCAGGAGTTTAGTTGTTGGACATGGTGGAACTGATCCAGCTGTTGTAGCGGCACACGCGGGTGTAGACGCTGGGGTGTCCCTGCATGGCACAGTCATAGCCCCAGGAGACAACTCCCTGCAGCTGACCCCCACACACCAGAGGACCACCCGAGTCACCCTGCAGACACAGAGAGGAGGGGCGATGGGGTTTAAGGGGGCACRCTCAGCAGATATACATTCTGTCATAACTGATCAACGATTTCTGCTAACCTTGTTCCATCCAAAGAAAAAACACATTTTTATTGAGAAAAACACAAGTCAGCTCAGACGAATTACTCTGACAGATAAATGAGCACCAGTCAATTTGTTTCTCYTTTATTTAGCTTTCGCCTAACATTGCTTGATTCTCACAAATCCTGTTGATGGTTGTGAAAACCTTCAGGTTGGTTGGAACTAAATGCCACGCTGCACGCTGACTCAGCAGAACATCACGCTGTAACAGTGGTTGCAGCGCTATGGTAATGAGTTAGAAATGTCAGAATATAAATTGAACTTACGCAAAAACACACAAACACTTCAAAATGACGTGCTARGGCAAACTAATTATGCGCCACTTGTGAGAATGTTAAAGCACTCGGCGTACTCCCGTGTTTGCTCACCTGGCAGCTGCTGGCACCTCCAMCCATGAATCCGGAGCACACCATGTTCTCCGTGAAGAGGTGCGGGTAGGCGTTCCTGCAGATCGTGTCGTGGATGATGGGCTGCCTCAGACACTGGAGCCTGTCGGGGTAGTTGCCTGGGAAGTGAGAGGGATAACCTTGGTTTATTGTATGTTGGAATCGGTGAATAAATCTCCAGTTGTCATCTGAAACACTCATATCTAAAAACTATTTGGACAAGCAACACATTTCCCYGTATGCTTTAATAACCAAACGATCCTCTCCACTCACTTCCGCTGGCGGACGTGTTGCCCCATCCGGACACCAGGCAGCTGTCGTCAGCCACGGGGCAGCGGGAGGGCAGGGGCACGGTCTGGACGTAGCTGTTGAGGGCTGCAGGCTGGCTTAGTTTGATCAGCATGATGTCGTTGTCCAGGTTGTAGCTGTTGTACTGTGGATGCCTGATCAGCTTGGCGGCATTGATCCACTGCTCCGTGCCTTCGTTCACGGCGATGTTGTGCTCACCGAGGCGCACCTGGAGGGAGCTGGAAGAGAAAAACAGTTCCTTACTTCATCTGACCTCCTCTGAGGTATCACCCACTGGACAGATTGCAACCTTGTTCTTAGTTAGCATTTAAAATTCCTCCTTATTGTAACTCCACAAGCTCCGCCCCTTTTCTGAGGGGTATCTCAGATCAACTCCTTTTGAGGCTGTCTCTTTAAAGTGCCCGTGACATCAATTTTTTGTAATAAACATAAATACATTTTTTGGAAAGGTAACATTGATAACATAAAGCAAAACAAATTTCACATCACTCAGATGAACGGTTGTTGAGATATTGGCATGTGAAGAAACAGGAAGTGATGTCAAAGGGGAATGTCAGCATGTAAACAGAGCGTTGTTTCAAAAGCTAACAACACAGACTGTAGAGAAGAATCTGATGTTTCTTTAGATTATTTTGAGTCGCTATCAGAGATGAAGAAAAGCTAAAGTTTAAATAATTTTGTTTTAATAAACCGAGACCAGCGAGTTTATTTTATTAATGAGTCCCCCTTTGATGTCACTTCCTGTTTCACTTTAGCTGAACCAAATTTAAAAGAAAATAGGCCAGTTATGTGACAAAATTGGTAAAATCACATGTACTATGCCAGTTTTCTTAAGTAAAAAATGCTTTCTTTGACTTTTTGTATTTGAAGTATAGGCGTGTCACAGGCACTTTAAATCCAAACAAGATGCATCAAGCCCCGCCCCCTCCAGCATCCAGACTGGTCCATTCCAGTTTGATAGAGGAATTTTCAACTATATAGCTGCGCAGAAACATTTTATTTATAAAATGAATTAAAAGATGTAAACAAGGAAAGACTTGTCCATCCAGCCTTACATGTAGGAGCCAGAGTCTGACCCAGAACCAGAGGAGAATGAAGACCACCAAATTGTAGTTGGTAAGTCCAGACCTTATTTAGAAGTTCTGTTGCAAATAATGAGATGTAATAGTTTAAAAAATGTCATWGAAAATAGAGAAAARTGAATRGGTTGAAAAATACYACCCATACAGAATATAAAGTTATCTACGTAGCACCAGTAGAAACTCAATTAAAATTTCCACACTCCTAGAAACTCCAAACGCARAACAAAATGCATTTAACAAARAAAATTAAATTTTGCARATCCATTTAAGTAATAATTTTCKAGTGAAACAAATATCCCTTGAAACCTGTCTTTTTGCACTTACGACAWGTAGCAGTGAGCGGCAGAAATCACCCACAGGCTGGAGATGAGAGACCCACCACAGAAGTGGTATCCAGCGTTCAGGGACACCTGGTAGGGCACAGAGTTTCTGGGACACTCATATCCCCCGACAACCTTCTCATCCTCAGCTGCAACAACTGGCAGAGCAAGTGATTTAATGTGTTAACATTAAAATAAAAACAGAAATAAGCCGACACTGAGCAATCCCAGTGGTAATAAGTACACAAATGTGTTTCTTACATGCTGCTCCAAGCAAAACCAGGACTACCAGGGCRTTCATGTTGACGTCTGTCTGAATGTGACTTCAGCTCACACTGGAGCGCTTTTTAAACTCTTGTCCTGCTGTTTGCGTTTCATACTTCCCACAGCCCAGGAGGTAAAAACTGATGGGAAAGAGCCATATGGCTGAAGGATAACAGAAAGACCTTGACTGATGTTGAAYAACGAGACAAGCTGCCACTTCAGGCGAAATGGTGTTCTTGGTTTGTGATATAATCAGCAGTTACACTGAAGTCTGTTCCAGCAGAAACTATTTAAAGGTTTTAGATCAGAAAACATGACAGATAGTTTTTGAACGCATTATAGTATAAAACACATTTAATGCCGTTATATTTGCTTAGAAATATTTGAAGAGGATTTGATAGTTTTGAGTGTTGATGTTACTGGTTTCAACTCAGCAGCAGGAAGATTTCACAATTCTAAGTAAAAAACAGGGCTATTCAACTAGCGGCTCATGGGCCACATCTGGCCCGCCGATTTTATTTATTCTTTTACTTAATTTAACAGATTTCAAATCATTTGTGAATTTAAAATTGCTAAAACCTAATAAATTAACCCCCGGTTAAGACACTTTAAGTGGGAAAATTTAAATTTAAAAATTCTGAACTGGGGTTCTATGGAAAAGCTATGAACACTTAATATCTTACTTATTGTAGATGGCCATTTGAACGACCTTGGTTTGAAAAAATAGAACTGAATTGACTTGAATGATGCTATTTTTAGTCTTGCTTGTTTAGCTGCTAAAAAAACTGGGTTTATTTTGCTTATCTTTCAGTAACTTTATTTTACCAGTTTGGGAGATGATGGCTTCTTTTACAACAAAGCTATTCTGTTGCATTCAACGTACTGTTTGCAACACAGGGAAAACCTAGCTTAAAGTTTGGCTAGTGAAAACATTAGCAAGAGAAGTCAACTTTGAACAAACTTTTATTGAACATAAATTAAAAAAAGGTAAAAGGTAAAAAAATATGTAACAGGTTTTAGAAATTTTTTATACAACTATTTACAGGCAGGAATCCATAACGAGCTTTTAAGGTAACAAATTTGCATGTGAAATTTAATTATTTCATTAAAATGACCCCCTCCCCCACACCACTCATTTACAACCAGTAGCTTAATGTGGTTTCTAAACGAGAATTATTCACCAGAAAAAACATTGTCTGGTCTTACAAGAATATTCAACCATTATTAGTATGTATTTTACTTATTTTTGTATTAACAAAGTGTAATAATTGAAAGTTTCCATGAGACAGTGGGTTATTTTTAAATGTGCGATTAAATAAAAACTTGCTTTATAACACTTTTGAGGTAGCACACCTGAGACAACCAAGAACAAGAGCAAAGGAATCGCTTCATTTCTGTAAATCAGCCTTCATTAATAAATTGCAGGTGAAAAGCTCAAACACATTTCTATCAGTGTGTGAAATAGACATTTATTGTTCAAATATACAAAAACTTTTCAGGGACTGCAGAGCAAAATGTCCGAAAAATTCTCCCTCATGAGCTTTAAAAAAACGCACAAAGTAACGACTACAGAACAGAATATAACAGCGGGATAAAAACATTCAGATCATCACAAATAAACACAGAAAGTTTAATCTGACCGGGTTGGGGAAAAACGGGATGACTAATAAAACCTAACTTTTTTGGGGGGATAAACATCACCAGCAACTAAAACATCCCAAGTCGCTGCTCACCAGAGTGAAGTTAAAATGTAGCTGCTCTGGGTGCTTCGACTGTAATGTGTTTACTTTGTGTGGAAATGAAAACGTGACCTGCCTGCTGCGACGCCGATGCTGCCAGAAGGCTGTGTCAAAGTAAGGTGCTGAAAAAAAACAACAACAAAAAAACTCTCTGTCCTCTTTGATCTCCTGTTTACAGAAACGCACCGTCTGCAGCACAGGAGTGAATTCCTCTTTACAAAGTAATGACTGCAATCAGCCTCTGCTCACCGTTTGTAGCTGTGGGTAATAACCGCTCCAGACCCGCAGGTCACTGATGCCTAAGAGTGTGGCGAGAAATGACAAAACAGTACACAAGACCTAAAGAAAGCACTACAACTACCCAGCACTTTGAAATCATCGACTTCTTCACAACTATGGCTCTTTTTTTTCTCTCCCCCCGACTCCTTGTTTCAGTTCTTATGGCTTCYACGCCGCATCCTCCTTCGGAACAACACTAGTTAAGGTAGCGCCGACACCGCCTCGCCCCGCAGTTGCAGCGCAGCTTGTTGTCGTCGTCCTCGATTGGGAACTTGTAGTCGTAGGTGAGCTCCTCGCCCCGGTAGATCTTCCTCAGGGCGAAGATGACGATGTGCTTGCGGCCGTCCACGTTGATGACGCGGGAGTAGCAGTTGGGCTCGCAGGAGTGGTTGATGAAACGAGCTGCGTTGCCTTGCATCGTCGCGTCCACCACGTCGAAGTCGTCGATGCGGAACATGTAGCAGCCGATGCCCTGGTGTGAGGCGACAAACCGTGATTTATTTTCAAAGTCTTTATTTCATTCAGTCACTACAGGTTAGGATCCTTCCCTGAATTTCAAACTACACCAATTGCCTGGGGTATGTATTCGTGGAGGTATATATTTTTCAAGCACAGTTTAATTCTATACCACATTTAAGTGACTATGTTACCTTCAGTTCTGGAAAAAAATTAAATATATATATACAGCGGGTAAAATAAGTATTGAACACGTCACCATTTTTCTCAGTAAATATATTACTAGAGGTGCTAATGAC